TTGCCTAAAATCATGTTTTACGTGGCTAAACCATGATTTTTTCTTTCAATTCTCAATTGCGTGGAATTTGCAGTTCCTCAATGAAAACATTAAATAGAATTATACTCTACCTTTTTGACTCAAAAGATTTGACGACAATTTTGATATATTTCTGAATTCAATTAATTTTGAACTTAACCGGAATTTCAAAAATTTTAGTAAATTTTGCACTATATTACTAACAATTATCACAACCATATACTGTTATTTTACTCTATTATTAAGTGTAACAGGAGGATACAACAAACCACAGAATAGATGGCCTATAATCAAACCATGTAGATTCGATATTTATGTTGATAGCATAATAACTGTCGGATGCACAGGCTATCGCATCAAACGTTTTCGAAAATACAAAATACATGTCAAGAAATTTTGAGGAACTGGCTTGATAATAACCATTGTCTAAACCAAATTGTACTTGTGGTTGAGTGGGTATGGGCTCAAGGTACGTCTTGCAAGTTTCAAAAGACTTGCGAAAACAAGAAAGGGCTCACAAGGACTACATACAAAAGGTGCTTTAACGGAAGAAAATCAGATTGATGATATAGTAATTAAAGGTACAGAACTCTGAGTAAGTACGTCAAATTAATTGTGTTCTGAAGCCGTCATGCAATCGAATTTTTTGGTATTTTTCGTAAACACTTCTACAAAGCTCATTCTCGATTCAAGAAAGAGGTCATAGCAGCTATACAAAACTTTCCAAGAAATCTCGAGAGTTTGTAATCGGGATTACTGATATTTTCCGCAAACGGATTGGAAGACTCGACCATTCAATATAGAGGTCCTTGCGAAAATGACCGAGAAAACCCGAGTTGTGTGATCGGGACTACTGATATTTTCCGTATTTATATAGGCAAGCTCGTTAATTCAAGACAGAGGTCAATGCGAAAATTGCCGAGAAAACCCGAATGATGTAATCGGGATTACCGTAAACTGACTGAACCTCTGTCCACATTTTTTCGTAATTGCCTAAATTATTGGTTAATCAGTGTAAATAGAATCATACAGTTTTTTTTTCTTCACTATTTGCATGAAATTTGCAGTAATTAAGAGGATAAATTAAATACATGTATTTTCTACCTTTTTGACTTATTTTACAACAATTGGGTTAGGAAATGTATTATAGCAGACGATTGAAGTACTATTTTCTAAGAGGTGATTGAAGCCCTAATTATATCTTATTTATTTTTGCCTTTGTGGGTACATTTTCTCTATTTGATAGATTTGTACACATAAATGCACTAACATATGGAAGCATATATACCCCAGTCGAAGGGCGAGACAATTCGTTTACTCCCAGATCGCAATGTGTAAAAAAGCCAACACCTTTTTACCCTTTGCCCCCCAAGGGTGTATAATATTCACCCCTGGAGGCAAACACTTATCAGATGGGTTGTCTGTGATTTGATGAATATTTCAACCGATTTAAGAATTATTATTAAGAAATACATGTTTTTCAGAATTTTCTGTCTGCACTGTTAGACGATCTTACGTGAAGTTTCTTGAGGGAAATTGTGTTTTTTTCCGATTGTTTTCGGGTGGATATAAATGTATTTTTTTCAGATTTTATAGACTGTAATGTATTTTCGAATGGCTTCAGATGCATAGACATATAAAGTTTAGAAATTTTACATTTGAAATAAACAAACTTTCCTCATACTGTCTGAGCAAAATCGTTGGTATATTGAATTTTGTCTATTTTTATTAAGGTGAATTTTGATCATACGCTTCAAAACAGCACTGATAATCTTAGAATAACTTTGCATTGTATGAATATATAAATATTTATATAAATTTTATAGACTTCTAACACATAGATTGCTTTGGGGTTCTTACAAATTTCAACTGTTGAAAACAATTATTTTCTTAAAAATATGTTTTGTTTTAGAATTTTCAGTGTGCAATCCTTGACGTTTTTATTGAGAGATTTCTTAATGGAAATTGTAGTGGTGTTTTTTTATGTCTTCGGGATCATAGAAAAAAAGTGCTTGGAAATTTTACACTTGAAATAAACAAACTTCTTTCCTAGAATATCATGTAAAAATGATCCACATTCTGGGCAGAATATTAATATATATCTTAATATCAGTTTTAAATGCGAATTGTGTGTAAATCATGAAACGATACCATACAACTTAAAGTTCACAAGTAAATTCCATAATTAATATACGTCATTTTATGAATTGAAGACCAACTTATTCAAATTGTCAAGTCCACACGTCAACAAAATCAAATTAATGAAATGAGTACAATGTCATAAACTTGTGTTCAGTGGCTTTTCTATGATGTAATTAGGCGAGGGGTAGGGGGTATTGGTCTAGGAATTTCCGAGAGGAACACAGATAATGATTTCACAATGCCTTATGATAAAAATTTGAGAGTGGGGGGAGGGGGCAAAACCTCTATTCTGAGGGAGTTCCCGTGAGCTACAGGCTGTGTACGTTAGAGATCCCTCGACAGTTGGAAATCTAAAAAGAGTAGGTCAATACATGGCAAAATTTCCCTCATTGCACCCTGCATGGCGTGGCCGGTCTTCAATAGCCCACATGGTGTAGAAAAGTAGAACGTAAAACTCCATTTATTTCATTTCATAAAAACTCTCAGAGGCTCCTTTCAAATTCCCCACCAAATTGAATATGATTCCATGGCCCATGCCTTAAGTAAAATCTGAATCCTTGTAACTAAACACACTGTAACAGTTAACAAACGCATAGCATTTTTGACAGATTTACTTAAAAGTCTTTAAAGTCAGACATCTGTGGTTCCTGCAATTCCACAAAAAATGAGTATCTGATGATGCCACTAATCGCGAAGAGCCTTGTGTGATAACGTCATAAACCACTTATATCTAGTGGAATTACAGGAACCGCAAACGTTTTATTGGAAATTGGAATGGTGAAAATTGATACTATCAGTGTCTCCTACGCAAATAATTTTTTTAAAAACCTCTTTACAATTCCTGTAATCATAGTAAATTGAGTTTCCTCCCTTAGACCATAAAGCGTTCTGTCAGAGTATGAAACTGATGGCATAGCTTTAGAAGGCACAAGGCATGGCATCAGTCAATTCTCTTTCCATAGCACCGATCTGAAGGATGTAGAGTCTGTCATACTGCGAGGCACGACATTCTAATTCAACCTAGAAAATCCGTTGTTGACAAAATGCAGTGAAATTTTGAATTTCCTGTCAAAATTTCCTTCATTGCACACTACAAGACAGTAGTTCTGTTCAAACGCCCCCACCCCACCTAGAAAAACTTTTCCAATGTTGGAAGCCGGAGAATACATCTAATACGATTTTGGAAGTGAATGAAGAATATATTTTTCATTGATAAATATCTTTGCTTACAAATATGTTCCTATATTGTATATTGACGAGACCTTTTTATCATTATGTCAATTCAAGTGTTTTAAAGGTCTGGGCCAAACCCTGTTTTAATTGTGTGTCAGCATGTTTTATTTGCATGGCGTTGTCCGTTTTCATTAGCCCACTTGGTGCAGAAATGTAGGACGTAAAACTCCATTCATTATATTTCATTTCTTTCCGAAAGCTTCCATCAATCATTCTACTGTGTGGGTGTATGTTTGCTTTCAAATCGTATGTTAATTCCTTGGGATGCAATACTCAAGTTGCCCAGGTCTGCCACAAATCTGGCATTAGCAAGATCTGGCAACTATTGGTAATTTGAGCACTCAATTTAAAACGGATGACTAAGATCTGGCAACCCTTCGTTCAGATCTGATATAAACGACAAAATTGTTCAAAGGAATAGTATTCTGGTTTTGCAAACTTTTTGTATTACACTGATAGCATCGATTTGTTCTACTAAAATTTTCAGTCAGACGTCTCTGGTTCTTGCAATCAAATGATGCAAATTGATGTTATCTGTGTCTCCCATACATATACAAAATTTACAAAACCTCTTCTTACAAAAGGGGGGTCAATTTTCCAGACTGCACTGTCAGCAAAGCCAAGAAAACAAGCATGATCAAATCAAATGAAATAAAATCCCGGTTTTGTAGCCTCAAGTTCAATCTGCAGTGGTTCAACTGGAAAAAAAAGAATCAGTTTTTATAGAGATAAACAATTTATTTCAGAAGTATATTTCTCACATTTAAAACAGTCAAAGCCATTAGCAAAGGTAACTTTACATCAGAACATTTTAATCTAACATTATTGCTGCATTATGATTCCACAAAATCAGGATGGCAGACAAATCCTAATGTAACATTATTGCTGCATTATGATTCCACAAAATCAGGATGGCAGACAAATCCTAATCTAACATTATTGCTGCATGATGATTCCACAAAATCAGGACGGCAGACAAATCCTAATGTAACATTATTGCTGCATGATGATTCCACAAAATCAGGACGGCAGACAAATCCTAATCTAACATTATTGCTGCATGATGATTCTACAAAATCAGGGCGGCAGACAAATCCTAATCTAACATTATTGCTGCATGATGATTCTACAAAATCAGGGCGGCAGACAAATCCTAATGTAACATTATTGCTGCATGATGATTCCACAAAATCAGGGCAACAGACAAATCCTAATCTAACATTATTGCTGCATGATGATTCTACAAAATCAGGGCGGCAGACAAATCCTAATCTAACATTATTGTTGCATGATGATTCCACAAAATCGGTGCGGCAGACTAATCCTCGTTATTTTATGATTTCTAAGTACTTCAAGACAGGACAAATACTTCCTGTTGTCACCGTGAAAACATTTACAGCATTTTTTTACTCGATTCGTATTCAAAGCCATCAATGAATGATCAATCTTTTCCTTTCTCTAATTCATTCTTTCCTTCATTCATTCATTCTTTCATCTATCTTAAATTCTAATATCTCTACAACTTTAGCCATAACACCCAGTGAAAGATTGACTGAAAAATAATAATACAAATCTTTACTTATAGCTTTACACAGCTTTATGGAATCATTATTACTGCTTAAATTTTGAAGCAAAATTAGTATGTGTTTCTCCAATAATTGTTTTTTTTTCAGAAAAGTAGGACATAAAACTCCTTTCATTTCATTTCCAATTGTCCTCTGGGAGATAAATTAATTCACCATTTTGTAGGCTCTTATTCTTAATACATCCTCTTTAAACAGACTTTAAGACTAGAATACCAGATGTTATAGTCTTGATAAAAGATATCATTAGTCCTTTTCCAAAACTGAGTATTTAACTAAAACAATACCTGAATACAAACAACAGCTAGTTGACCTGACAGCTATCCTGACCACCATTTCATTTATATAACCCATATCTGAAAAACACGAAAGAACTTTACTGCTAGATGTTGTTTTTTCGCCTTGATAACTGCCCAGTTATGTGGTGTAAAACGAGAGAAATTTTGTCAGCATTTCAACGTCTTACTTACTTTCCAATCAAGCTCTTAACGAGTACAACCTGTTGCACACAGGGCCTATGTTTATTGCCCAATCCAAAGGAAAAAAAATATGTTTCCATGTTAGCCCATCCACCCTGTATCACTGACAGGGAGAAACCAAAATAAAAAAGATACAATCTTGTCTAGCTTGCTTTGAGCGTTAAGAGCCAAATGTAATATTGAATTGTAAAAATGAAATGCAATGGAGTTTTACGTCCAATATTGAATATAAACTGTATGTAATCATTGAAAAGGTTTTAGTTATGACCCCAAGTTCGAGGACTGGCTGTAGCACAGCTGATAAGGGCATCAGAATCTTTATATGACATCATTTGTTTGGTTTAATGAAGCAGATGTTGTAAACTGAAGTTTTGCCAAGGACATGCTCATGCATTTGTAATCCTATTAAAAACTGTTATATCTTCATTTCTTCCTTTTAAAGAGTTACTTACTTCTGTTTACATGCCCATTAGAAATAGTTCCATATTTATTGCCCCACACATCAATCAATCCATCTCGGCAGGACAGGGTCGATGAACCCCCTGCAGGATTACTCCCTGCCTACCCTAAGACTGTTATCTATATCACCAATATCTGATAAACAAGAAAAAAGATATGAGAATTTCATAGATTAAAAAGGGCACAAGCTTGCTTTGAATGCTAAGACCCAAAATTAATATTAGATTGTATACATAAACTGTACAAATAATCATTGCAAAGGTTTTAGTTATGATCCCATCGCTGCAAAAGCAAAAACCTTCCATGGACTGGCTGTAGCACAGCTGGTAAGGGAATTAGAATCTTTATATGGCATCATTTGTTTGGTTGGCCATAGGTTGTAATCTGAAGTTTGCCAAAGACATGCTGATCCATTTGTTATCCTTTTAAAAACGATTATTTCTTCCTTTTAAAAAGATCCTTACTTCTGTTTACATGCCTTGAGAAATTGTTCCATATTTCTTGCCCCACTCTTCAATCAATACATCTCGGCAGGACACGGACGATGAACTCCCTGCAGGATTACTCCCTGCGTACCCTAAAACTGTGTTATCTATATCACCAATATCTGCAATAGAAAAAAAGACGGGGAAATAATGTTTTCAAAGATTAACAAGGGCACTCTGAATTTTTTTTAGTTTAAGGTATATAAATATTGAACAATTCTAGTGCTTCTGGGACTATTTACATATATTCAAGGTCCAAACCAACCCTCAAAAATGTGAACGTCAATCAAAAGCATTATTTATAAAATACAGAAAAATCAACGTCTCCAAAGATTTCAATCTACATCAAGCTAGTGCTCTCTTAAATTCAGTCTTTTGGGCAATTATCTGATATTGTAAGATTCAAACTTATCTTCTTCACTGTTCTACATCATAAAAACACCACTTTCTGAAACCATAGACCAATACTAGTAATATCATACACCAACACCAGTATCTGACACCATTATCTTACACGATCACCATTATCTGACACCATGCACCAATACCATTATCTGACACAATACAACAATACCATTATCTGCCAGCATACACCAAAAGTAGTAACTGGCACCATACACCAATATGTTCTTCAAATCAATGTCAATAAACCCAAAAAGCAACCTTCAGTAGAAAACAAATAATTAAAATACCATTTCCATCTATCAAGGGTCAGTATATGCAAGATTTTTCATTCTTAAATACAATTTAAATCCTAAAACACCAGAATAAAGTGGTGACATATTTCTCTACTTTATACTGTCTAGTGCCCAGGCTGTTTCACACGTGGCATAGGTATATAGTCCCATCCGAACATATCTGACACAAACCATAATTCTTCAAACGAATCTCAATACCCATATACTTATTTAACATGCAGTATAAAGTATAAAATATTACCAAAGACATGGACCAAGTACCAAAAAGAAGTCCTACCTGCCAAATTCCCCATATCCACAAGCTAACAGGGAATCGTATATTTCTTGACTAAAAATACCAATTTCTGAAATAGACAAAGTTCATTACATCCCCCTTTCCCAGCCAGAAATTGAAACCAACCAAACTTATAAACCTACCAGCATATGATCCAAAAAAAACTAAAACCAACCCAACTGAATAAAAGTCAAGGACAAAACAGCAGACATCCAAAAAAAATAGAGCAGAAATCCAAACAAATGTGCAGAAAACCAAACAAAAAAAATAAACTCAAACAAAAATCTGAAAACAATTACTCTTGCCTATCCTTCCACCATTACCTGAAAAACAGAAATAATATTTAAGAATTTACCTTAAAAATAAATTGATTAAATGAAACGAAATTTAGCAAAAGTGCCATGGCTTTATCAGCTTGTGGGGAGTAGCTGTGGCTCAGTGAGTTAGATGCTTGCTTCAGCTACGGAAATAGTTGAGTACCCCCCTGTCAATGATACGGGTCACAAGGCCCACATGAAAAGGGTCAAGTCGATTGGATGGGACAATAAACTAAGGCCCTGCGTGCTACAGGTTGTTCACGTTAACGATCCCACAACTGTTGGTAATTGAAATCTGTGGGAATTTCCCTCATTGAACTGCAAGTATGACCTAAGACACCATTTCATGTTTATTAGCTGGTAAAATATAAATAATAACATGACCATACCTGCGGTATCTCTATGCATGTCACTTCTCATTTGATGATTACCATTTCCTGAAAAGAAAACTTTGACCTCAAGCACCAACTTAGACCCGTGAACTCCAATACCAACTTTGACCTTAATCGCCATCTCTGACCTTTGACTTCATAAACCATCTCTGACTTTTGACCTTTGACCTCAACAACTATCTTTGACATTTGACCTCAACAACTATCTTTGACCTTTAACCTTTGACCTCAACCACCGTCTATGACATTTTAGACCTCATACACTAACTTTGACTTTGAACTTCAAAACCTGTACACAGCAAAATACACTTCACAAAAAAGCAGAAATCCAAACAAAAACAGAGAAGGAAAAAATGCATGTCATTAGGTAAACAACTGTTGATGGTCTTTGTAACATGACAATTCTTGTTGATTGGTAGTCGCATTGTCCTCTTGGTTTGATTGCCTGGTGAAAGGTGCAGAAACACCAAATGAAAGCAGAAATACCTGGCCCCCATTTCTCATAAAATTTTACGATAAGAATTTGTCGAAAGTGTGGAATTTTACACTGAGAAATACCATACTTAGGACAAAAATTGATCGTCAAATTTTTTCAGAAACAGGGCCCTGGCAGAAAGGAAATAACAGGGTCAGTGAGCCTACTGATGAAAAGAAAGATATATAACAAGGATAACAGCTTAGGATCACAAGATCCTGTCTAACAGCTGGTCCTTGGCCAAACTTCTTGGCAATGATTTTTCCCAGGTTATCCATACCCATTTACAGCTGAGTCGAATAAAATACTGAGGAAATATCACTTATTCTAGCACACAGAGAAAGTCAATTCAAAAGGCACGATTTAAAACAAGTCGCTGGAAGCAGAATTGAGAACTAATAATGCAGAAACGCCAAATCAATGCAGAAACACCAAATGCAGAAACACCACATCGATGCTGAAACACCAAATCAATGCAGAAACACCATCCTCTTCTGAGCTCTGTGGCTGAAATAAGAAAAAAAAACATTATGTCAATGATCCGAAGCTCAAATCTTTTAGCCAACACAATTATTTATTTTGATCGCAACGTGTTTTTTTAAACAAAATACTACCTCTTAGAATGAACAGTAGATAAATGAAAAAGTAATTTGAGTTATCTACAAGTAATTATTGAACAACACTTAACATTTTTAGGGCATCTTGTTTTATGGAATTAATAGTATACAGGGAATTTTGTACAGTGTCCACTTTTATGCACATTCGAGTCAGAAAACTTTGAAGCTTCAACACAGCCAAAATACATTCTCGAAGTACGTCAATGAAATTTACACACAAAAGTAATTTAGCTTTACGATGCTGTAAACGGCAATTCTGTATCTCTTTTGGTTTCTGAGCATTTCTGTAAATCTGAATGAAACCAAGTTTTTTTGGCAGCTTTTCGAAAGAACTCAAAATCCACCTTCATGCACATTCACTGATTTAATGTTCATTCTAAGGTAGCATTCTTTTAAAATCATTACCATGTCATAACTAATTTGCAAATGTAAGCAAGGCCTAAAAATGTTGAACTTTTTGCTTTATAAATTCATATATGCTAGTTTTTCATTTTGGAAAATACCAGTCTATCAAACACCCTACAAATATTGAAATTGCGATGCATTTTAATTCAGTTGTAGAGAAACTATATGTCAAGATTTAATTTGTGAAGTGCTAAAATTTGCAGAAATAATGCTCAATGAACTGGCAAATAATTACATGACTATGTTCACTAAATCCCTTTAACATACCCACGGCTTTTCATCTGCAAAAGAGGTTCTTTTGAGGTCCCTCTAAATTCTTCACTTATTCTTCTGTTCTTCATCTGTTCTGTAGGCGCCGCTTCATCTGTTCTTCATCTGTTCCACTTCATCTGTGCCTCTTCATCTGTGAATAGGAGGTCTGAAATGTCATACAGGCCATGACCCCAGAACACTCCTATTGTGGCAGTGCTATTGCGGGTAGGTAAATTACCAGACGATTTACCCTTTCTAACCTGAAAACATAAATACATGATCAATCAAACATATTGAAGGGATATTTAAAATATTTCATATTTTTTTTCTTTGTTTAATTTTGCCTATCATTAACAAATTCAAAGAAAAACATGAACAAAATAGAGACAAAATTTTGGCATCATCATTCTCGATTGGCTGTTTTCTCATTTAAACCCATTTATTTGTTTACAAAAATATCATGATTCACAAAACTGTATAAGATAAAATATTGCAAAAATATATTTCTAGCAGACGAACTAAGAATATCAAAATGATTTCAGATTCCAGATAAATCTTTATTAAAAACACTTGCCTTGCGAACTTCTGTGCCACGCCATAAGCACTTGACTTCTGTATAATGAAGCTCTATCTGTTTACACCTAAAATTAAAAATAAACATATTATCTAAGAAAATTATTAAAGAAGCACAAAAATCAAAACTTTTAATGGGTTCTTCAGCAGTCTGTTAGAGTGTTGAAAACTTTACATGAGATATGGTTGGTAACGTCCAAAAAAGTTGGTCATGAGATCATTGGCCAAAAACCGGCTGGTAGAATCTTAGGATATTATCCTTGTAAAATATGTCAGTTTCTTTCTGATCAAAAGCCAAGAAAGTTGTTACTATCAATGGTGAATATAAGGACTTTACAAATTTTTGTTTGTGGTTGGAAAGTTCCCCTGCCCCTTTAAAATTTAATGTCAACTGATATACATATAATATTTAAATCGCTTGTAAAGCAATATCATGTCCAAGATAAGAATTAAAATATCCGTACCTGGCTTTGTTCCAAGAGTCGCCTTTAGGACATTTGCGCTCCACCATAACCAAAATGACCTCCAAATTATATGCCCTTTTGAAGCTAAAGACCAGCTCCTTGTTCTTGAAACCCTGGAATAAAAGATTCTGGTTTTTAAAGGTTGGGAACGTTAGGTGCAATCTAAGGAATATAGAGGAATATATCCATGGCCTTATCTGAAAGTTTTAAGCACAAGTATATTTTAGATAATGCTCATGTACAATCATTTTTCAAAGCTTACTCTTGGATAAAATATGTAGGTACTGACCGTGCTGTGTTGATCATCTAACTGCGTGTGGTGTATGTCAAACCCAATAGTAAAAACCGCTATCGAGTTCCCGCTGACGGCTAAAAAACAAAAGACAAACATTGTATTCAGTCAAAATACCATATAATTTTGCATCAGAGGAAACATTTTTGTTTCATTTCTGGTTTATTGGGATGGCTATTGAGCCATGGCATACAGAATGTCACTGGGGTTTTGCAAATTGACATACATTTCATAAAGTTCACACAGCTAATAATGTAATTATGGACATATCTCGGCAACACCATTCCAATTGAAATTAGAATCAATTTAGTACCATTTGTTAGATGGAAAGCATTGACCTCAAGGTTCCAAAACTGAAACTTAATAAGCTGCATCAACTTACTAAAAATGGGTGGAGGAATCTCCTTACGTCTTCATCTGTTCCTCTTCATCTGTTCTTCATCTGTTCCTCTTCATCTGTGAATAGGATGTCTGAAAAGTCATACAGGCCATGACCTCAGAACACTCCTATTGCGGCAGTGCTACGGCGGGTAGGTAAATTACCAGACGATTTACCCTTTCTAACCTAAAAATAGAAACAAAAAATCTCAATTTTGGTAAAAATCAAACGCACAAACAAAATACTGTCATTTTCTTTGAATAAAAATTTTGCTTGAATGCAGATATTCAATTTTGTTGACTGGTCAAACAGCTTATTTTACGCATTTGGTTTTTTGAGACCTTGGCCACTGTAATGCTTCTTTAACTTTTTTTTAAAGTTTCAGATATCTAGGTGATGAGGTATCAAAGTTGACACTGTTTTGAATTTCGGAAGCAATGGCCGTGGCATGAGAAGTTTATAAACCTTGAAGAGGATTTGAACTCACAACTTACACAGTTCCCAAGTTGTTAAACCCTGCAAGGATTAATTCATTTAGCCAGGCAAAGTATTGAGGAGTCTAAATGGTCAGGGATAAGGATAGCATTATGCAATAAAATACACTTGCCTTACGAGCTTCTGTGCCACACCATAAGCACTTTCATCTTTTAGAGTGAAGCTCTATCTGTTTACACCTAAAAATATACATAATTCAAACATACGTATACCAAGTTTCTAAAATGTATTAAGAAGGATTCCAAAACAGATTTATCAACTATGTGTATTGTGGACACTGACAGCATCAATTTATACCATTCTATTTTCAATCAGACGTTTGTGGTTCCTGCAATTTAACTAAATCTAGCTGATGTTGGATAAGTCACTAATCACAAAATATGCTTATCACAAAAGGCACTTCGTAAATAGGGATGTCATCAGACACTTTTTATAGTGGAATTGCAGGAACCACAGACGTCCTCAATGCCCATCAAAAATTAAGAAAATCTCTTTACAATGCATTCAAGCATTCCAAGTTTCAGCTAATTGATTCAAAATTTGTTACCTTTTGTCATATGTGAAAGCCATTATTTGTGTATTTATTAAAGCAATAAAAATCTGAGTAATTTTCTTGTCCATGGTATATTAGATACCCATTTCATTCACTCCCTGAAGCCATCGCTTTGCATTTTTCTATTATTTGTTTATATTCAAGTAAGTAGGTAATATCAAATGATGTATTCTAATACTGAAATCTATAGTTTTAACTTGTGACCTAGGCCAGTGTCTCTTATAAAACCTTAAACTACATGAAATATTGTAAATATCCTTACCTAGCTTCGTTCCAAGAGTCGCTTTTGGGACATTTGTGCTCCACCATAACCTAATTGACCTCACAGTTTAAATGTCCTGTTATAGCTAAAGACCAGCTATTTTGTTCTTGGAACCCTGGAAGAGAAACAATAGCCGCTTTATTTATGGTAATTTTAATGCCTGAAACTGGGAATTTCTATTTCTATATATGTCTTTTAAACTTTTGAAACTGAAGTATGATAGGTCAATGAATGGTGAACCTGTCCATTTAAAGATGGGTTTCCTTATTTTTCAGTGTCAAATAAAGCAAACTATTTGATAGACATTTGTGACGCCAGTGTGGAATATATAAAAATTGGTACTGACCGTGCTACGTTGATCATCTAACTGTAAGTGGTGTATGTCAAACCCAATAGTAAAGACAGCTATCGAGTTCCCGCTGACGGCTGAAATTTGAACAAATGAGGATAAGCATCTTAATTCAATCAGGTGTCATAAAGGTAGATTCAATAAATGTTTGAGAGTTTGACATCATTGAACCTTTGATACAGTAAACCGTTACTCATGTCATTGTTTGTTCTGTTGTGTATTGATTTAACAACTGCTTCGAGTCTGACATCATTGAACCTTTGATACACTAGCTAGTGTCAATTATTCTGTATGTATCAATTGTTTACAAATCTGACTTCATTAAACATTTCATACAAACATTAATGGGCATGGGACCTTGAAAAGATCATCTTTATTCATTATTCATTAATTATTTAAAGACCAGCTGGTAGAAAGTTGTTATCCTACGAAAAGATAGCTTGTCAAACAAGGAAGCATAGCCCTCCATCTCATTAATAAGATCTTCATAATGGATATTTAGTTGTCATCAAATTTACACACAAACAAGGTCTCATCAACGTACACATTTGTTTTAAATTCCACCAAACTCATAAATACTACATTATCTATAGATTCATCGTTCAACAAATCATTACCAATACAGGTACTTGACCAAGATATTATCCAACTTTTACTAAGTCAAGGGCAATAACTCTAAAATCATTCAAGCAATCACTACCAAATTAAATTTTGAGGCATTTTTACTTAGTTAAGGGCGATAATTCCGAATCAATTTATACCTTATTCAAGCCAATTGGCCTCAGTGAAAGTTACGCTGGCGTTCTGCAACATATCACGGTAATAAATTGATATCATTTTTACCGGAACTAAATCAATATGGTCACATTATCATGTGTTTCTGGTAATTTGAATATTAGAGGCAGTTTGTTGGTGACAACAGGTGGAGGTAAACAAAGTCAATAAAAACAAAAACTGTGGCAAGGTATGTATCCAAACTGATAATATAAAGTATAATTGGATAACACTGTAAAAATTTAGCATTAATTAATATGTAAATGTCAGAATTATCTGAGAGGGGTGATATAGGCGAAAGCCTGTTCACCAATCCTTTTCTTTTTGAATAAAATATTGATTACAAAAAAAAAAATTATCTCCCAAAGTATATTAATTTAAGATCTATATTTAGGTCGCAATATTACTATTTAGGCAAATCTTCACATACAAAAAATGGAAGGGTTTAAGTGAGCAATAAGTCAAATTCAAACTTGTCCAAGATCTCATTATCATCACACCAAATTTAATTTAAATCAGATGAAATCTGTGTTCACAAACAAATTTTGACGTGTTGTACCTAAGTCAAGGGCAATAACTCAAAAATAGTTCATCGAAAGATCGTCAAATTCGAACTTGTCCAAGATCTCCATCATTATAAATGATCACACCAACTTTCTTTTAAACTGGATAAAAATTGAAATCTTTATTACGTTCGCAAAAAATATTTGACCCGTTTTGCCTAAGTCAAGGGCAATAACTCAAAAATCGTTCATCGAAAGATTTTCAAATTCGAACTTTTCCAATTCTCCATCATTATAATTGATCACACCAAATTTCATTTAAATCAGATAAAAAATGTAGTAGTCTCTATTGTGTTCACAAGAAAATTGTGAACGGACGGACAGACAGGGCGAGGACAATATAAGACCACATTATAATGTGGGCGTATAATAATGAGATGAAAGAGTTTAAAAATTTACCAACTACTTCGACTACCAACAACTACATGTACCTAGTTTGCGGTATCAGCATCCGCTGGAAACAAACGTCAACTTGTCATCTACCAACCAACCAATTCAAAAATTAAGACAGAAACTAGAAAGCGTGAATGAGTGCCATAAATGTAAAGATGACGAAGGTCAAAAAGACTAATTCAAACATTGAACAACAAATTTTTCAGAAACATTCAATTTTGCTCAAAGGGACAAGAAACAAGACTTGAAATTGGAACAGACATTATGTCCGGCACTAATCAATTTGTATTACCTGACGTAAAAAATATGATATTTTCAATTAAAATTCAGGTTAACAACTACCGGTAGCTAAGAATAGTTCTTGTTATTCAAATTGGGAATATTTAGCCAATGCCTCTAAATTACATCGCGTTAAAACTATCATCTTATTTTATCTCAGGTTGAATGTTGAAGGGTTGTTTGAAATTGAGAAACACAATAAGAGAAAGAATTGATTTCTTGTTATCTAAGTTTATAGTAATTAGATTTAATATTTTGAGAAAATGTGAAATATTAAACTGGACACCCAAAACCAGCAAAAGAACGTTCATCGACGCATGCGTAAAATAATTTGGACATCTCAACCTGTCGGTATTCTCATTCTGTCACAAGGGACACAATGTCCTTGTCCGGACGCTTATGTAAAGCCTTGCAAGGAAAAACACAACATTCCTCAAAGATTAATCATATAGAAGAAACAAATTCTTGCAAAATGGTTTAAATCCATGACACATTTGCAAAAGAGGTAAGAAAAAAAGTTTTGCAATAAAGTCTACTAGCTACTCTTCTATGGATATATTAGCTCTCCATTTCATTATCAGGTGGCAATATATCCTATCCCAGTAGATCTTTACTGAGATACATAACCAATTTGGCACTAGCTGGAATGTTACTTGACTCTGTGTCATGTTCGTTGTATATCTTGAAGATCAAGATACGTCTCTTACATCCGCAAATTCTTTATTGCTCATAGGCCTAAACAAAACATTAGGAGTAAGCGAAATGAAAAGACTTAGACCAACAACACCGAGAGGTGAAAAACTAAAATTTTAATTAGACTTGACCAAAGACCATTGCAAAATAGCATCAAATCAAACTAAATTTTTAATCCCTTCCAGTATGGTAGCATGAAAAGCTGAAATATTCATAATATCCAAATTGACTATCTCACGGACATGTCAGAAAAAATCAAAATTCAAATGTATTCCTTAGATTAGGAATTATGCCATATGAGCATTAGATCTATAACTGAAAGTGAACAAAATATCCAAAAGAAATTATTGACACCAACAATTGCATAATTAGAGTCGAGTAACCTAATTTCGTGCTAACCTATTTGTCGTGCATCTCCGGGGAAATGATTAATAATTTAGATGTGCGACCTCCGAATTTGATTTTTTTTAAAACATGGGTTGTATGCACACTATCAGCCAGTAGAATGAATCCAGTAGATTCAAGCAAGGTAAATGTATTAATGTATACTTTGACAAATAAAATGGCGGATTTCAGTTATTACCAAATATCACAATTTTTTATCCGCCGAATTTCCTTATAATCCCAAGCTGGAACACAATGTGGGCCATATTCTTATGTAGTTTCAATGACTTTTAGCAATAAATCGCTCTTACGTTTTACTTATCTTATATTTTGTCAGTCACTATTTTTTTTAAATCATTGTTCTTTGAAGGAATTGTCATCAGATAATGAATTCCTATTAAAAATAAATACTAAGAAAAGTTAATTATACCACTGGGTATCCATACAACGGGTTTTTCTCAACTTATTTATAGATCAAACATTGTGCATGAAAATAGGTGACGCATTTTGCCGTCGTTGTCGAGTTGGTTACTCATGGAATATGGGCCAAAGTTGGGGGATTCATAAAGAAAATTGAAACAAACCAATTTAAATTATTTTGTAGTTCTGAGGAAACTTCTAAGATATAAAACAAAACTTTTTTATAAGCCCACATGAAATGGGGGGCGTATATTGCCGTCACCTCTTTCCGTCGGTCCGTCCACAATTGCTCGTAAGCACTCTACAAGGCACAATTCTTGACTGATTTCGAAGAAATTTGGTATAGTATATTGAAAATCAGAAATATTTACTATGAGTTATTGCCCTTGTTCTTGAAATGCTCGTAAACACTCTAGTAGGTGCAATTCATGTCGGATTTTGATGAAACTTGGTATGACTGTTCGTAATCGCCCAAGGATAAACCCTATCGAAAATCAGAACAATATTTAGTATGAGTTATTGCCCTTGTTCTTGAAAACGCGTTCAAATTTTATCTCTAGAAGGGACAATTCTTGTTCAATTTTTAGCTTGTAAACAATCTAGAAGGCACAATTCTTGACGGATTTTAACGAAATTTGGCTTGAGTGTTTGTTATCACCCATGGATAGAGCCTATTGAAAATGAGAAAAATCGATTGCCCTTGATCTTGAAAACTCGTTCAATTTGTAGCTCATAAAAACTCTAGAAGGCATGATTCTTGTCGAATTTCGACAAAACTTGGTTTTATTATTCATTACCGCGCTGAAGATTGAATATTTGTCTTCTAGAGTTTTCACGAGCTAAAGATTGAACACGTTTTCAACAACTAGGGCAATAACTCATACTCA